CCCAGGCCCAGAGTTCAAGACCCACGACCGACAAAAAAAAAACAAAAGCACTCAACTTTCTGGGGTAACCAAAAATCCATGGATTCTACAGATCAAGAAAATAAATACAGTAACTCCATAGATTAACATCTCCCAGAGATTACAGTTGTACAATTCTTGTATCCCATTTCTTTACTACTTTTTATATTCCACCTTAGAGCAGGTGAATATGGAATTGTTTGGAAGGGATACTCACAATGTATGTACCTATTCTTTATTTTAAATTCTGATTTCTTTTTCTTTCTTTTTGTTCCTATGGTTTATTCCCTGTTGTTACTGTTTTTTATTTCTGTCTTGTATATAAGTTTATCTGATTTGGAGAAGGGAAGGGGAGTAACAGAAACAGTAGGACAAAGGATAAACAAATACAACAGTGAGACTTACCAGACAGTATGTTGGTAATGAACTTTACAACTTGAGGGTGGGAGCTGCCAGGGGAGGGGGAAACTGATGAAAACAAGGGAGGGGACAACACTGTTCAAAAGAAATATACTCATTATGTACACGATGTGCAGTTACTGATGTAACTGTAACCACTCTGTACATTACCTTTACAATAAAAAATTTTAATGAATAGAAAATTCTAGCTTTCTACCTAGAAATAGAAGCCATTTTATTGTAAATACCATCATTTAGATCTTTAAGAAAAAATGCCAAGTGGTCAAGAAGGGACCCTTAAATATAAATATTAAATACAAATCTGAAAACTAATATTTTTTCTTGAAAAAAAATCCTGATATGCAATGTTATTGTCCTTGTCATGTTAACATGGACTTTTCATGTATTTACAGATAAATGTTTTTAGAGAGTTCAACTTTCACTTCTCTTATATTTCTCTCAATTACCTTAGTGTAAAATGGGTACAAAAGCAAGTTGGTGGCAGTATGTTTTCAGCTCATCTCCTAATAGTGGTTGCTGACAAGCACTTAAAACTAGATTGTGTTCCATAAAATGTTTCACTTGTGGTGGTTTTCTTTTTCTATGACAATGGAAAGAACATATATCACTCTAGCATCCTAGGCTAGAGAAAATAGCTGCTTTCCAGCAATACTATTAATGAATTGATCTAAGGAACTTTCTACATCATGTGTCTCCTGGCTTGTCAACATCGCAAACTGCCTTAGTTACTCATGCATCTACAAGCTCTTTGCATACCGCAGAGCTCCACTGCTAAAATATTTTCTGTGTTCTCTCACAATTGTACAACTACCTTGGGAGACAGATGTGTACACGATCCCAATATACATTAAGAATTTGTTTAAGGACACAAAGTCAGCAAGGGCAGAAGAGAATTAAGACATGGACCATCCAGTGATGTTTTCCAGGCTCCCTTGCCATGAAGGCTGGACTACTTGTATAGTGCTTTTGCTCTCTGCTGTTTAACAGGGTATAAAATAGAAAGGCCTTTGCAGTTTAGCAAGGTGCAGAATTAAGTACATATCATATTTACAGGGCAATTTCCCATAAAATCTCAGTATTCCTGGTTTTCCTCACTGTAAATGGGTATTTGTAGGTGCTGGTGACTCGTGCCTGTAATCCTAGCTACTCAGGAGGCTGAGATCTGAGGATCAT